CATCAGTGCGGGGAGGGCTGTTACTCTTGATATTGTAGTAAACTAGGTTGGATGAGGGCCGCAGTTATTTCAATCACTGGCTGTGAGAGGCAATGCTGGATTTTTCAGCAGCGTCACCCAAAACGTTATATTTTGTCATCATTTACTCAGTCTCACATCATCTAAACAACATTCTACGCCACTGACTTTTTCGTTGGTTGGACAAGAATCAAAACGAAGCAAAGCAAAACGTAAAACAAAACACAAAACATAAGAGACAAAACAAAACACGAAGTGCAAAATGTAAAATATACAACAAAACAAATGTAAAATAAAACAAAATACAAAGTGTAAAATGTCAAACAAAACAAACTAACAAATCAAAAGAAACGAAACACAAAGCACATGTAAAACAAACAAATGTAAAACAAAACAAAAACGCAAAGCGTAAAGTGTAAAATAAAACAAAACAAAAAAACCAAAGCACAAAATGTATAACGCAAAACAAAACAAAAACCAAACGTGTAAAATGTAAAACAAAACAAAGCGTAAAATGTAAAACAAAACAAAAGGAATAAAGCACAAACCGCAAAATGTAAAACAAAACAAAAGTAAAACAAAACAAAGCGTAAAATTTAAAATTTAAAACGAAATAAAAACAAAACAAAGTGTAAAATGTAAAACAAAACAAAACAAAAGGAACAAAGCACAAACCGCAAAATGTAAAACAAAACAAAACAAACAAAACAACATGCAAAATGTAAAACATACAACAAAACATAAAACAAAAAATGAATGCAAAGCAAACGGAAAATCTAAAACAAAAATGAAACAAATGTAAAACAAAACACAAAACGCAAAATGTAAAACAAAACCAAAAAAAAAAAAGAAAAAGAAAAAACTTCAATCAGTCTTCGATGTCTTTTTTTATGTTCCACTGAAGAAAGTAAGTCATACAGGTTTGGGCGACATGAGGGTGAGTAAATGATGAGATAATTGATATTTTGGGGTGAACTATCCCTTTAAGAGTTAAATATCTCTTTGTTGAATTCCATATAAAAACTCTCTAGACAGAGCAGTAATCACTGCCTTTAAGTCAGGAGTTTAGAAATAAACCACAACACTGGCAAGATATGTGTGTATAACTGTGTTTATGCGTGTGTGTGTGTTCGCGTGCGAGTGCGAGTGAAGGGAAAGGTAAAAAACGGACGCACTATTTGTTTGTGTAAGCAGAATGTCTGTGCCCAGTGTATGCCTGGCACCGGCCCATGAACCCGCTGCCCTACTCCCTTTTAATGCAGTAATGAACTCGGCTTCTGGAAACCAAACATTTCTGCTTTACAGCCGCAAATATCACCGACCTCATGATAGCATGCAGCAGGCATAAGGGACACGAAATCACCAGGCAAGCAAACAAATAAATCTACAAAACACAAATCCAGTCAGCTTCACTCCAACATCCATCCATCCATACATACAGAGATCTCCACCGCTGCTCAGACTGTAGGGTCCTCAGCCTCTGTTGCTAAGCGACAAATTGCGTTTCCTGTAAGGGCATTTTCCCCCATTACAAAACAATATTTGTGCAATACCAATAATGGATGACATCATTTCGAAGTGCAAACCATTTTCGCAAACAAACATGTCTCAAACGGGGTCTCCAGATATTTCTAGTTCACAATATGCAGTTGTTTACAAGCGCATGCACTACGACCAGCTTCCTATTATTTCAAGCGCAGGAAAGCGCATCGAGGACTGAGAGCCAGCGTGGATCAATCAGCCAAACTGACATGCTTTTCGTTCCACATTAGTGATACTCAGAAGATACTGAAGGTGAGCGAAAGGTGAAAGCTTCTAGGCCAGCTTTTTCAACAACCTCACGCTATTGATTGTCTCCAGTTCAGTGGTTGTCATGGAGAATCGCTTGTGCGTTTCGAGTGAGCTAAAAATACCTTGTAATATGTACAGAAATCCATATATATGCATTACAGTTCTAGTGGTGTGTTTTGTAATATTGATATTTCTAGTCAAATTTTAGATAAATGGTGCATTTCAGCAAAATAAAAAAAGTGTAATGGTTCAGTGATTGTATCATATGAGTAGTACTAGAGTATTTGTATACCATTATGCAGTTTGATTGCCATAGTCATATATTTCATGGTATTTAAAGCTGAATTTTCAGCATCATTACTCCAGTCTTCAGTGTCACATGATCCTTCAGAAATCATTCTGATATGATGATTTGATACTCAGTTATTATCTATGTTGGAAACAGTTGTGCTGTTATATACATCTTTTATTTATTTTTTAAAACATTAAATATATCTACAGGTGAAACTCGAAAAATTAGAATATCGTGCAAAAGTCCATTTATTTCAGTAATTCAACTTAACGGTGAAACTAATATATTATATTATAGACTCATTACATGCAAAGTGAGACATTTCAAGCCTTTATTTGTTATAATTTTGATGATTATGGCTTACAGATATGAAAACTTTTTCACAATATTCTATTTTTGAATTTGGGGTTTTCATATCTGTAAGCCATAATCAGCAAAATTATAACAAATAAAGGCTTGAAATGTCTCACTTTGCATGTAATGAGTCTATATAATATTTTAGTTTCACCGTTAAGTTGAATTACTGAAATAAATGGACTATTGCACGATATTCAAATTTTTCGGGTTTCACCTGTAGATATATTTAATGTTTTTGTTTTTTTAACCTGTGATACTTTTTTTCAGGATTCACTGATGAACAAAAAGTAAAAAAGAACAGCATTTGTTCAAAACAGAATTTTTTTTATAACAATATAAATATTTACTATCCCTTTTTAACAACAAAACATCCTTTGCTGAATAAAAGTATTAATTTCTTTCAAAAAAAGAAAGAAGAAAATTGCAGACCCCAAACTTTTGGAGGGTAGTGTTTATTGTTACAAAATATTGCTTTTTTAAATAAATGCTGTTATTTTTATTTTTTACTTTTTATTCATCAAAGAATCCTGAAAAAAACATCACAATTTATAAAAAATGTTTACTTAAGCAGCATAACTATTTCCAACATTGATAATAAATCATACTAGATTGATTTCTGAAGGATCATGTGACACTGAAGACTGGAGTAATGATGCTGAAAATCCAGATTTGATCACAGGAATAAATTACATTTTAAAGTATATTACCATAGAAAATCATTATTTTAAATTGTAATAATATTGTCTGTATTTTTGATCAAATAAATGCAGCCTTGATGAGCATAAGATACTTCTTTCAAAAACATTAAAAATAGTAGTGTCCATATGTCTAATAACTGGAATTATGTACAGCCAGCTGGTCATTAAAAAAAAAAAAGCATTCAACCCTTGATCAAGACCCTTCTTATCACCCTATAGGGGATTATTTTGCGATAATAACTGTAGCTACATTGTCCCTTCAGCTTCAATAAGCGAACAGACTTCCTTTGTTAGAGGAAATGACACGTTTTATTAACGCACACCACTATGAATACTAGAGCAGTCTTATACCTGCCACTAAAACCGCAGCATACTAAACTCCCTGCATGCTGCCTCTCTGAACAAACAGTGACAGGTTGAATGACAGCTTTCTTTCATTCCTCCCATTTCGCACTCTTTCTTTTTTTCTCTTTGTGTGCGTGTGTGTGTTTTTTTTTTTTTTTCAACACCAGTTAGTCAGTACTATTGCCTTTGTCACCATGGAAACTGGACTAGCCATGTCTAGTGGGCGGTGGGCGGTCTCTCTCTCGTCTGACGGACACCTCACCTGCCCTATACACACACACACACACACACCAGAATATCTCTCACACTACAGGTTACATAACCCTAACCAACCCAAGCCTGCCATAAACACCCTCAATGAATGTTAATGTAAATATATACTGTAGAGGTGCCAGTCAGTCGTTTTCATGAATGAGAGTTAGACATCAAAAATATCGCCCAGCCAGCTACACACTCTCTAAGTGGATGTTAGGGCTTATTTAGAAGTGAAGCACTTCTGGTGTGAGTAAATCAGTGTTGCGAGTTGACCTGCAGTGGCATGCGGCTGCAACATCTGACCTTCTGTGCGCTGCTTTATGAACCATATCTGCGTTTCTAAATGCACTGCAACGCAACTAGATTCTTGACGGCTTCGGCTTCCCATGAAACCCAAAGCACACCAGTAGTGTGAGCCTTATGACGTTTCCAGGTAAAGCTGGATCAAAGCAGGGTTGGAGTACAGCTGCAAAGCCACGTCTCCGCACTCACACTGCATACATAATTTGAAAAGAAGTGGCGAGTCTTCGAGCGCCGCATTCGTGCGCGAGATTCCCACTGTTGAGCATCAGCCATGTCACACAACAGAAGCTTGTGTTGGCATTCAAAATACTCTCTTCCTTGGTGCGGTTGAACGCTGGTCGAGAACATTTGGAATAGCAAGTGGTCTCTTGGGAAGTGGGAAAATGTAATGCATGTGCAAGAAGGACAAAGACAAGAGTGGTTTTCTGAAAAGTGTTTTTTGTCCACTCCGTTTTATTCCATTTGTCTCCATTCAAAGCAGTTCCCGGGGGAGTTCCATCATAGCAAATAATCTCAGTAATGATTATTTCAATGAACACGTCCATGTTGGTGAATCCTTTAAAACATGGTATTGCAAAACAGTGGTGATGTAATCCAGTAGTCATAGTGCATCTTCAGACTCTCTGAAGCGCACACACAAACTTCCAGCAACATCACTCATGAAACACACACACACACACACACACACGAAGCAGTGAAAAGAGTGGCACAAAACACTGAGCAGATGTTTAACATCTGTGAAGCACTTCAGGGAAACACTGATTTAAATTCCCAGTGGCCAGTTCTGCAAAAGACGCACATCATGACTCTTTCTGATCGACGTTATGATTAAAGCTAATAAATCGAGTGACTGATGATATTAAGAGCGTCTCATATATGCGTCTACTTGACAGCAGTGTAAGTGTATAGCTGTGTGTGTGTTATCAATTGTCGATACTCACAGTGATTTTGGTCTCCCTGATCTCCTTCTCCTTATTCTGCCTCCTGGCCGGGGACGTGGACCCTGGGCTCTGGGGGGACAGACAGGAGGCATCATCAAAACTGCCGTCCGCATCAAAGCTTTCCTCCATCTCCATTGATTCGTGCCTCCTCTCTTTCTTTCCTTCTCTCGCTGGCTCACTCTTTTTGCACTCTTTTCGCTCGACTCCCGCGTGCAGTCTGACTGCCTGGCTCTGTTGCTGTGGCAAGCGATGCAGAGTGGAGCGTGTGTGTGTGTGTGGTGGGGGTCTCAGGGGGAGGGGGGTCGTGGAAGCGTGACGGAGTGAGAGGGAGTGAGAGACATAGGCAGAGAGAGTGGGTGAGGAACACGAGACTTCAATAACAGTTAAAAGGGCACACGGTCACCAGAAAAGAGGGTGAATCTCATAAAGCCTGATAAGAACACGTCCAGGTCATATTTTACCCCAAAATTTAAATAATGTGGGGTTTTTTTTGTTGGGGTTTTTTGCTTAACCATTTCATGTATGAATTACACTCACCTAAAGGATTATTAGGAACACCATACTAATACTGTGTTTGACCCCCTTTCGCCTTCAGAACTGCCTTAATTCTACGTGGCATTGATTCAACAAGGTGCTGAAAGCATTCTTTAGAAATGTTGGCCCATATTGATAGGATAGCATCTTGCAGTTGATGGAGATTTGTGGGATGCACATCCAGGGCACGAAGCTCCCGTTTAACCACATCCCAAAGATGCTCTATTGGGTTGAGATCTGGTGACTGTGGGGGCCATTTTAGTACAGTGATCTCAGTGTCATGTTCAAGAAACCAATTTGAAATGATTCGAGCTTTGTGACATGGAGCATTATCCTGCTGTAAGTAGCCATCAGAGGATGGGTACATGGTGGCCATAAAGGGATGGACATGGTCAGAAACAATGCTCAGGTAGGCCGTGGCATTTAAACGATGCCCGATTGGCACTTAGGGGCCTAAAGTGTGCCAAGAAAACATCCCCCACACCATTACACCACCACCACCAGCCTGCACAGTGGTAACAAGGCATGATAGATCCATGTTATCATTCTGTTTACGCCAAATTCTGACTCTACCATCTGAATGTCTCAACAGAAATCGAGACTCATCAGACCAGGCAACATTTTTCCAGTCTTCAACTGTCCAATTTTGGTGAGCTCTTGCAAATTGTAGCCTCTTTTTCCTATTTGTAGTGGAGACGAGTGGTACCCGGTGGGGTCTTCTGCTGTTGTAGCCCATCCGCCTCAAGGTTGTGCGTGTTGTGGCTTCACAAATGCTTTGCTGCATACCTCGGTTGTAACGAGTGGTTATTTCAGTCAAAGTTGCTCTTCTATCAGCTTGAATCAGTCGGCCCGTTCTCCTCTGACCTCTAGCATCAACAAGGCATTTTCACCCACAGGACTGCCGCATATTGGATGTTTTTCCCTTTTCACACCATTCTTTGTAAACCCTAGAAATGGTTGTGCGTGAAAATCCCAGTAACTGAGCAGATTGTGAAATACTCAGACCGGCCCGTCTGGCACCAACAACCATGCCACGCTCAAAATTGCTTAAATCACCTTTCTTTCCCATTCTGACATTCAGTTTGGAGTTCAGGAGATTGTCTTCACCAGGACCACACCCCTAAATGCATTGAAGCAACTGGTTGATTAGATAATTGCATTAATGAGAAATTGAACTGGTGTTCCTAATAATCCTTTAGGTGAGTGTATTACAACCTCAATCAGGATTTTTTTGTTCTTATGTGTTTTTTATTGCTCTTCATGCATGGAAAACTAAAAAAAAATTACACATAAAACATATTTTCAGATGTCCACTTGAGTGGACAGTATGCGTTTTTCGTTTTAACTGAGGAGATACCATATTAAACATAATACAGTAATAACACAGCAATAATGTGTGTATTTAACAAACCAATGAATAAAGTGATAGAAAATCATGTGAAAACTAGAAAATATATATAATACAGCTTCTATTATTGAGTTTGTTTCCGTTCGACCAGCTGGAAATTATTGTTATGATAGGACAATATTTGGCCGAGATACAACTATTTGAAAATCTGGAATCTGAGGGTGCAAAACATTGAGAAAATCGCCTTTAAAGTTGTCCATTTATGTTAGCGATTGTGCTGCATTCACTCAAATAAATGTTTTATATATTTACGGTAGGAAACTTACAAAATATCTTCATGGAACATGATTTTTACTTAATATCCTAAAGATCTTTGGCATAAAAGAAAAATAGATCATTTTGACCCATACAATGTATTGTTGGCTATTGCCTCACATATACCCGTGCTACTTGTGACTATTTTTGTGATCCAGGGTCACAAATACATTTATTTACAGCCAAAACAGTTTCTGCGGATGAAGAATTTTCAAAAACAACAGTCACAGTAATAGTATGAATTGTATCTGAAATATAGCTAGTGATGCATGATGTCCAATTTAGTGGACAGATGATTAATCAGGATTTCCTCCCAATCTAAAATCAATACTTGGACAATTTAACAATAATATGACTCCTTAGATGTTACTTGATGCTACAACATTTTGTTTTACCTGCAAGAGTCTCCTAGGATAGAAGGAATGGATTGATTTTCCAGAGAAACTTGGCATTTCTGACTGGCCGTCGGCCATCTTTTATTTTTAGTAACATAGGCTTGCCACTTGGTGGCAGTGTATAGGATGCGCTAGAGTCCACTGTGGAAGTAGATGTGCAACTACACCATCAAAACCCATGCATACGCAAGAAAATGCTTTTTGAATAGCTGTCCACTGGAGTGACATCTGTGCGTAAAAGGGTCAAAAAAAGAAAACCAGTTTTTTGGACATTTAAAATGTTTATTTCTAAATACTGCATTAATGCAGTACTCAATTCCAATATTTATAGCACATTTTCTACTGTAAAAAATCTTAATTAAAAATATAAAAATCTAATTTGTTTTCCAAAATGTAAGTTTAATTAAAATTTGGGGGGAAATATGATTAATTATCATGTAAACAAAGTCACAGTGGACACATAATTAAATAAACTATATAATATATAAATGAAAATATGAAAAAACAAATACACTTTTTTTCTCTTAATTCTGGGGTAAAATATTGGCTGGGCATTTCTTTTGTGAAATTCACTCAAGAGTTTTTGTCCTTTAAAAAGAGCCGTACATAAGAGATGCATATTATGGAGAACAGCTGACGAAAAATGCTCTTAGTGGTTGTTAGCATGCTGTTATGCGGTTGCTAGGGATTTCAGGGTGGTTGCTAGGCAGTTGCTTACTGGTCCAAGTCAAAAGAGTCCACCCCCAAGTCTCTATGATATTCTAGTCTTTAGAGATGACTCGGGTCTCTTTTTCAGGGTAAATCTATGGGGTTTTTCACCAGTTTGATTGCATGCCAGGCAAAAAGATCATCATATGTCTTAGAAAAGTAATAACACACATCCCCTCAACAATCTACATAATTGAGGTATCATTCACAGTACAAATGGTGTGAAGTGAGCAATGAGCCAAAGTTCAATAAGCAATAGTAATAGGGATGTGTCTTAGCAAACACCACTAATTTAAATAATAATATTAATAACAAAGAAAAAAAGGTTAAACATAAGAAGAGAAAAATGATGGGAGGCAAATGATTTACTAAAACAGAACCACACCCCCTCCCTCCTGTACAACATACGCGTGTTTGAGAGGAGGGGAGGAGAGAGAGGGAGGAGGGGGGGAAATAGGGCTAATTATCATTGGAGGTAAGCTTCGAACAACAGCATGCTGTCAGACGAGAGAAAAAAACACATGACCTGCGAAAACAAAGCATTTCTCACCGCCCGTGTGTGTGTGTGTGTGTGTGTGTGTGTTGGTGTGAGCTTATCTTTCAGACTGGCTGATGCTTCAAGGTATCTGTATTCATTTTGCATCAGTATTACTGCTTCGAGAGAGGTGTGCCTGTGTGTGTGTGTCCAAAGCTGGTGAGTGCAAGTGTGTGTATGTGCCTTATTTCAAGCTGCAGACGCTGCATCACCATCCTTGTGTTAGCAGGTGTTAGAGACTTTGTGCTTAGCATGTGTATAAGCAAACATCTCCCAGCATGCATCAAACTACACCGTCTCCCCTCTGTGCTTAACTGTACTAGCATAGTGCATGTTTGCATTATTTGCAGAGCGTCTGTACACCTATGTACACACTCCATCTTTCTAATTAAAAACATGGCCGGTACATGGCCAAAGATCCAGCATGCACAGCACTCCGTATAACGAGAAGCTAATGAACGTGCACAACCACACACTTTCTGTCTTACCGTCCTGCAGAACATGTCAGCGCAGGCCCGCAACCTCCGGTTCCGTTCCTCGCCGCTCACCCAGTCCCGGTCGATAACTGTTCCGCACCCCCAGCGTACCTCGTCCTATCCGTCTAACCCTCCCCAGCTCCGCTTAAAACCCAACACCTTCCCAATCCTGGCCTGAGATCAAACTCTAACAGCGTAAAAGGATCCAGAACTGGGCCGTCCATATGGCCCACTCTTTGCCGCTCCCGATTTGCTGATGGCATGAGCTGCCCTTGTCTGGCTGTTAGTAGATCACGTGGGATAGGGAGGGTTTTACTTGGCACTGCTTCACCATCTTTAACTGTTACTGTCCCCAGATTGGCGCAGATGGCACCAGATCTACTGACTCATATCTTTCTGTCAGAATCCAAGCAGCAATGGAAGACCAAATCATTTGGTATTTGTAAACTATTTGCGAGTTATTCTTGGAATCATTCCACAGATACACTACACAGAAGTTCAGATTTACTTGATGCTATATTCATGAGCAGGTGATATCTCAAAATGGGACTGTACCTGGTTGCTTATGTTGGTCTTCCTTAGGGACACATCTGGATGTTCCAGCACATGACCAGAGGCTCCGGGAGACTGACAACCATTTACTGCAACACAGAGGCAGAAAGTGAGTCTTCATTAACCTCATAGGTTTCCCAAACATATGTTCAAAAGTTGGTGTGCAATAGTGATTCAATTTCAAGACTGATAACCAGATGGTTGCTTGTTTAATCTCAGAAAGAATCGCATGGGCCCTGAAGCCAATCACAAGAGAGATCTGTAGGGGGATGGTTCCTGTAAGGGAACTCTAAGTGAGGGGTTTGCTAACTTTTTTATGCTAGAATCCAAATAGAGAGGTATACAAATGCGGTCACATTTACAGGTTTTTTTTTTGTGCCATGTTTTAATAGTGCACAATCCAGTCATTTGAAAAGTACAAGGATTGGTGTGAGGGTGGCGTTCCACATGCAGATTTCAGAACAGGTTCAATTTGGTTCACAGCGATGACCAACAGAAAGTTTCTTGATTTCAAAGTAACTTGACTGTTTAATTCATAAGGCCGTGTGTCCACCAAAGCGTTTTTAGCCAGCTGAAAACGCTAGACGCTCTGCTGAAGACGCCTAGCTGTGGGCGCTTGAGAGCGTTTTGGCAGCGCAGCGTTTTTTCCGTTGAGACGTTTCGTTGCTATGATACAGAATATCCGCAGCACAGTTTACTTGTAACTGATTTCGCAGATAATTTGTTTCATACTAAAAATTAATTTTTCATCCATTTTGTTCGGTTATCTCTGCTGGTTGATGTCGTTGTACAGAAAGAATGTTGTGACAGTTGCTCGGTGTGGTATTAGTCCCGCCCCTCCTCCACTGTGATTGGACGGCTGGGTAAAAAGTGAGTGATGAGCGCTGCGTTTTACCCAAAGTTGAACATTCTTCAACTCTCGGCGACCAGTAAAAACGCCAAAGTCTCAGCGCTTCAGCGTGAAAAAAAAACGTTCAGCGCCTCGTTGCGCTCATGGCGTTCTAAAAACGCGGCGCTCCCATTGAAAACAATTGAAAACATACGCCAGGCGCGTGGAAAAACGCTTTGGTGGACACACGGCCTAAGGCCCTGTTTACACCTGGTATTAAGATGCGTTTTGGTCGATCGGATCACAAGTGGATGGAGCTAAATACAGGTGTAAACGGGGTCTAAAACGTTTTGAGCTTGTCCACTTTCGACCACTTCCAGAGGAAGTCGAAAATGCATTAGACTGGATTGCTCTCCTAGAGCAAATTCTCATGTGGTCGAATGTGTTCGAACAGCCACAAAAGACCGCCTACTCTCTGTCTACTGACTTAACAAGTAAACATTATGCGAAGCGTGCTAGCCAGACGGGATTTAAACTTTGACGGCTGAAGAACCAAGTTTGGTTTGAAGACGAAAAACGTACCAAGCACAACGTTCTCTCATCATTCCTGATTTCTAATAATTTCTAAATGCGTCTATCAGAGCAGAAATGAAAGCTGTTGCTCTCTTTGTGTTGTTCCGCCGTCTCCGGGCGCGTACATATGTAAATTGCGATGTTTAAATAAATAAATTGGATCGAAAGATCTGAAGAAAAAAAAAATTAATTTACCCGCCCATTTTGTCCCTTTGAAGAAATCAGGACAGAAGTGGTTGAAAAAAGTGGACAAAAGAGACGAATTAAAAAAACAGGTGTAAACAGGAATACGTCTCTCTCGTCTACTTGTGATCTGATCAACCAAAACGCACTTTCCTGCCAGCAACTTTCTAATAATTCTCAAGACTAGTTTGTTCAAGTGTGTTTGATTAAGGCTGGAGCTCTGTGGACCTCGGGGGCCAGAGTTGAGAACCCCTGTTTTAGACAGTAGTCTGTATTTTGGAATGGAGCTTGTTCTGTTTTCATCAGCCTATGCGAGCAGTGCACATTGACTTAATAAACCCTTACTGACACTACACTGAAGCTAACGAGCAAGATAATACATTATGTCCAAATGGTATTCATATCACTGAGTCTGGCCCCATGGCCCACAGATGGCTAACGTTCAGCTCTCGCAAAGGCTGAACAGCCTGTGTGTGCGTGTTCAGTGACTGTGTCCAGTGGTGGTGAGTGATTATTATGATGGAGGCTGTGGCACAACGTTGTTCTTCTTTGAGCTGTCCCTCTCCCTCCCTCAGGGCTGAAGAAACACACACAGTCAGAGCATTAATGAGCCAGCCTTCCCTGATATGCGCACTGACATCCAGCATTTGATAAACAGACAACACTCTCCTGAAATACTGGGACATTCTTTATCTTACTGCTGTTCCCATGTCTCTGATTCTTAAGGCCAATACTTCTGCGTCGAGTGTACGCCTTAGTGTACGGCGTAGGCTACGCACGTAGGCGACGCCGTCATGAGCATTTATACTTCTGCGTTTAGGTCTGCGTTGCTCTGCAGTACAGTGCCGAAACGCTAGTTGGCGGCGGAGGGTTTTAATGTTCCACTGTGTTTAGATTCCTCGCGGCAAGAAGAAGAAGATTCCTCGCGGCTGTTTTGAGTTTAGGTTACTACAAGCAATGGCGACTGAAAGAGAGCAGATCATGTTGGAGTTGGAGCTTATCGAGGTGGAAAAGGTAAATTTTTAGTTTTTTTAACAGTTTCGCTGTACTGAGAATTTAAAAATGGCGGGCGGTGCAGAAGAACACGCCGGAAATGCATAGGAGGAAACGCGATGCTACCAAGCCGACCAATCACAGATCTTGCGGTCTGCGTCGTCGCGACGTGTAGTTACATTTTTGAGGAGGTGCGCGTCAGGTTACGGCGAAGGGTACGGCGTATGGTACGCGTCTGTGCGTATGCTACGCCGTACCTACTGCGCGCACCCGACGCAGAAGTATAAATTGGCCTTTAGCCTGTTATCTTCCAACACGTCTTCTATTTAAACCTTTGTCAACTATGTCACCTCTTGTGCCTCTCTCCACCATGTCCTCTATCTTTGTATACCTTTTTCCATAATGTCCTCTCCCTTGACCTGTCAACATGCCCTCACCCACTCTGTATTCTCCCAACATTTCTGTCCACCATGTATTATTCTTTCTTTGTCTCTGTTCACATTTTACCCTCTCCACAGCTCTATCACATTCCCCTTCTATTTCTACCTCTGTCCACCATGACCTTTTCTAATATAATATTCTAATATTTTGGTGGCCAACAAAATTAATATTTGTCCCACCAAAGCTTTATTTGATCATCTGAGATGACTGCTATGCTTGTAATGGTGGCATGGCACGCTTGTCTATGACTGCGGTAGAGCTGTTATTTCTTTGATCAAACTTTTAACCCTTTAAGTGTCACCCCCCTTTTTTTGAATATACATGAAAATGCACATTTCAAACTTAAATGGTTGTAATTCAAGAATGCTTAGGAATATAGACGTAAGATTGGTCTCATTTTAAAGAAGACATTTGGCAGATTTTTGTAGAAGTGAAATAAATTAAGAAAGTGAAACAGAAAAAAAGTTATAGAAGTGTGAGTTTATGAAAATGTACAATGTAAAAAATTTAATTATTCATATTTTATAGAAAATATATATTTTCAAAACCTGGGCGACTCTAAAACTGCAAAAAAAATCAAAGTCAAAAATCTGAACAAGTTGTGTTTCAAATTTTAAGTTGATATCTCAAAAAATGAGCTTTCAGTAAGATTTTGTTTAGGCGCAGTACCAAACTTTTTCACTAGATGAGAACCAGACTCCATTACTGCTCATATAAGGGCGCCTCCATTTCCAAATGTGTTTTGAGTGATCTGAACCATTATTTCCACAATTTTCATACAATTTATGAAGTAGACATCCTATTCAGAAGTAATATGAGATGTTTGGCAGATTTTAATATGAATTCAACCTCTAAGAAACACAAACAGAACAAGTATGTGCGTTATAGCGCTGCCACATCACAAATGGTGAATCTATCATTTTTGTCTTTATATTTAAAAAAAATTCAGACCTTTTTTTCTAAAATAATTGAATGGATGCTAGCTTTTGAACTCTTGGCATGAAAACAAACTGAGGTTTCTACCCTTCTTTCATGATTTTTCATGTTCATCACTATTTCAAAATTAAGGTCTAAACACGCCTTAGGAGTATGAAAATTTTCTTGTTGCAAATTGATCAATTATGGCTCCTCTGTAATTCATTTTGAGAATCAATCACCAAATATGGAAACTAGAGATTGTAAGCTTTCAAATGATATATAGTTTGTCAAGATTAGTTTAGGTTTAGGATATTACTGTTTTAAAAATGTAATGGATTTGGGCCCACCGGTGGGCCGGTGACCCTTCTCTGTCTCTGTATCAAATGCCATTCGATTAAAGAAACATTCCAGTGATCTTAAGTGGTTTTACTCTTTAAAATTGGCCATAAACAGCAACAGGTGCATAAGGGCTAGCTAGCATGTTATCTTAGCATAGCATCAAAACACAACAATCTATTACATTAATACCATGTTTGTTCCAAACTCACAATACAACGTCAGTCGAGTGTTTGAAATTACTTCCTTCTGTGACCTGTCGCTTCTTATCACAGAATGTAACAGAAAATATGTTATTTTATAGCATTCTATACAATAATAAAGGTTTTGCCAATTAGCATTGCATTAAACATAGTTTATCAATATGCAATTGTGTGCTCTGTGTGTGGATGACCGTGTTCCTTTTCCTGGGACCAGGAAAACCCCTGTTCTGTCCACCATGTTCTCTCCTTACATTTTTGTCCAGTGCAATTTAAAATTAAAATGTTTGCCTTTAACTGTTAATTTCCAAAGCAGGTAATGATAAAGTTATGAACCCATTTAGATAATCTTAAAATGGTAAAATCTTGATTTATTGTTCTGAGTATGTCATCCCATGATTTAGCAATAAATTGACTGCATTTTAGCAATAACATAATTGTGTTTGTCAAAATTTCATTAGGTTGTCTCTTGAATATAAGATGCAAACTGTAAAACGGTGGAAGCTGTAAACTCTATATCTATATAATAAAAGCTATTTTATTGAAATGAAAATCAATATTGTTTCCAAGCTCTTGTGGAAAAATTACCTGAGTTCCGGTGAAACCCAGTAGCTTTTGTGATGGTGGTGGATGTGCTTGGCAGTTCCCACGTTGTCTCTAACACAAACACAGGCATGTTAATATTATTTACAGATGCTTCACTCATATTGGTAGTGCTTACTAGTTTTGATTGCTCTACATTAGGTTTAGGATGGTACACATAAATTGTCTTTCTGTCTTTGAGCTTCCATATTACTGATAATTTCTGATTAAATAAAACTAAAGCTCTTCTTCAATCAAGACTATCCCTCATAGTCGGCCCAAGTTGGGGGCAGTTTTACTGAGTAACATTGCAAAAGCAATTTTTCTTTTACACAGCCATGGCTGAAAATTGTTACCATATTTTTCTTACATAGTCGCCCCATGTTTCCTGTGAGTCAAGATGGATTTTTTATGCTAACTCTTGCAAAACAGCATCCCTCATTCCAAGCACTCAGTCAAAAACGATTTTCCCACACAGAAACATTCTTGTGCAAACATAATTTTCTAATCAGCCTCGGATAGGCCATCCAGGGCTGTACAGCAGTGGTTCTCTGTCTGTTGTGATAGGGTCATGATCCGCAGGAAAAAGCAATGCTAACTGCAATTTTTTTTTTTAATGAGATTATATAATTGTACATAATCAGGATAACACCGATTTAAAAACTTCTAAAAGTGAAAACTGCTGCCCATAAGTTTTGTTGTTGACGTTAATGGTTGTGTCTCCAATAATGCTATCATATGGTATTATTCTGTACTTATTATTGGGTCCTTCTGTACTGGCATTCATAAATTTGCTAAATAAAGGGGGTGAGGCCTAGGCCTAACTCCCGGTTATGTTGACCAATCACAACACACTGATCCATCCAGCCAACCAATCAGAGCACAATGCACTTTTCGGAAGGAGGGAATTAGAGACAGGGCATTACTGACAGACTGAGGAAAGAGGTGCTGCAACAATGTAAAATATCTATATAAAAAAAATGTTTTTTATTATTTCAAGCAAAAACAAAACCCCAAAAACAAAAACAAGACTTTGAAAAAGGGCATAATGTCCCCTTTGAATTATTTCCAAAATAAATATGGCCCCTGAATCAAAACCAGCTGAGAACCACTGATATATTAACAGTTCTGACAAGCTCCCATGGAAATTTGATAACACAATTCGATGCCCAAAAGATACAGTACATTAAGTTGATCAAATAAGAACCAGTCCTTAATAGACTACAGCATTTAATTTTTTTTCAGCAAAGAGAAACAGACCATAAGCATAGACAGAAAGTGTTTACAGTGAAAGAAAAGCAGCACATTGTTGTGGCGCTGTACAAACAGATCGCCTCTGGACAGTTCTGCCTGTGTTTACAGGGCAGTCATAGTTTAGTGCCAGACTGTTAGAGAATCATGCTGGGTGCCAGCTCAGAATGAACAGAAATACACAGCACATGTTTACAAAAGACCATTGAACAGCATGGCTAGTTTTAAAGTAAAGTTTGACCTTCACAACATCCAGTTACCTGAAGAGCGAAAACAACATCAGGATATAATATCAAATCCCAAAAGAAAGGGCTAGTCGCACCAAGGTGTCAATCTCAAGGTTCGGCTGGATATCTTTGTAACTACCACATTACAGGACCATTATTTTTAGGGGAAAATATTAGCTGAACATGCCTTTATACAGTAGTTTGTGCGTCTTTCTATCCATCTGGTCTTTATCCTGCATTATACGAAATGTCCTTTGGCTTCTGAACTTCTAAATTGCTGATAGTTAGCATGACTAAACCGCCATGAATTCAAAATTCACTTCAATTACGCTTCAGTGGAAAACAAGAGGTCATTGCAGCTTTATACGTCCCAGGCAGCGTGCTGGGGCTTGTCAGAAAAGAGGAAGAAGAAAGATGAAAACAGATTAATCCAGATCAGCTAGATTTGTCCCTCTTCAGATGAATAGGCTATAAAGATGATGGAGAATGCTAATGAAGTTAATAATAATAATAAAATGAAGTTTTCCAGCCTGTGGCGCTGAACGATGAAGAACTGGATTCTATGATACACAACAACGTTCTGAGATACCTTATCAACGTTTCGCATTTTTATCAGGCAACGAACACATGTAAAAAGGAGCCTGAGGGTATGTGAATGAATCACTATGGCTGGTACCACAGCAGCAGTGAAAAGACCAATAAATTAGATAAATTTGGAAAGGGCAATGAAATTAGCTATGAGCTTTTTTACTTTTATATACAGTATGACTATTCATGTCACGTGCACAGGTGTCAGAAATGCTTGTCTTTATAAAAACCACTGCATTTGTGAAATTGAGATATTTAGGATGCCATCACTGTACCATGCCACAAACCCTAACTGGGATTCTCAAAGCAGAGAACATTAGTAGCACATACATAGTGTTTTTATCTCTATGGCACATTGCCCAAAAGCATAATTTTTCCCTAAAGCATCAGTTTATCAGCAACATAAAAGATATGCTGGCAAAAGTTGCAGTGTTATCAGGAAAACCTGTACTTTTATTGTATGCCTAAGGAATGCAGCTTCATTTTCAAAGCACAATAGACGATCCAAAAACAATAATCCAATTCAGAAAAATAGATAAATAAAAGTATTCAACTTGCTATTTCATAACAGAACATTTCAAAAAGCCACAAATGCCTTCCTCCAAACAGAAAAATTGTGATAGAGATTTTCTTGTGAGAGCCTTTTTCTTGAGATAATATTTGTACTGTCTTTTTGAAATGTTATGTTATGAGCCATTTGAATATAGGCTTTTCAATGTGTGTTTTTTTTTTTCATTGTTCTTTTAGGCCTAATTGTTATTTTTCTCTACAAAAGAGCACCTTTGAATGAGAATGTCTTTGTTTTTGTTTGTCTCTTAACCAGTCTCTTATCTCTTAACAGTTCTAGAGATTCAGTCAGCCTATTCCAAGAAGGGACAAGAAAAAAGCTTTGGCAGCTTATTATGTTTACATTTTGCACAGTAGGTGTATCTGAATCTGACTGCTAGCTTGAACACTCACTGTCAGTAATACTAAAAACATTTTGAGTAAAAAAAAACAAAAAACAGCTTCCATACTGCTCAAACTCTAGACAGTCAAAACAAGCTCACTGAGTCCTGACATAAACAAAGACACAGAGGACATCAGTAATAATACCTTTAGTGCTTGGGTTGACATAGTATTTCCGTCCCTCAGGTGATCTGTAGCTTTTCCAACCCACAGGAAGAGACGCATTCTCGATTTCCTCTGTTGGCATACAGCAGACTACTGGCTTCTGCTACAGAAACAAGCAGCAACAAGATGCATATAAATATAAACAGATATAAATAAATACATTTATAATAAAGCTTGACACATAAGCTCACATAACCTTTCTGAGCGCGTTCACCCGAAGCGCGTGCACAACAAAAGCCACACAGCGCAAGTACAGGCCGCGTGAGTAGTGAGAACGTAAAAGTTCTCTTTTGAGTCTTATATTGTGCTTAAGCTGTCAAGAAAAAAACAAGGTTTACATAAACTCAGTCATTCATATGTTAAGTGAATGTAAATAGTTCGGATGCATGTCATAATGATGTGACACATGATGTGTCAGTATCCGCGATTTCGGTCTTAAAGTGACAGGCAGCCTAATAAACACTGCCATCTATGTCGTTAATATTAATCAAACAACAATATACATAGATAAAATCACTCACAGGTCTTGACTGAATAACTTAGCTTTAATTAGAATCAGTGTATATTTAATTCATGCAGTGAAGTCTATGTATTTTGCATAGGCCTACAATTTCTCATGAATGCTACTTTTAAATACAACTAGCTAAAATATTAAAGCATTTAATTTGAACCGTATATTGTATTTGCCCAATTGTTTGTCATTTGCATCTTTATGCTTAATTTTAATAACAAAGATAAAATAGTTAAATAAAATAAAGTGAAATAAGATGTTGGTCGTATCACCCACTAGTCTAAATGGCCTGTCATTGTTTTTCTTTTTTTCTTTTGTTACCTTGTCAGACTACATTTTAAAATAGGGAAATATGTCTGGCTGTATTGCTCAATAACTTGCAAAATAGACACAAAATCCAACATGAAAAAGAATTGTGATAAGATCGTGATCCTGCCTGAAAAAAAAAAAAACCTTGATATGATATTTTTGCCATTTCGCCCACCTCTAGCGTATTATATCATTTGTTTAACCCATTACGTAATATGGAATTAACCCCCACAATAAAAACTACATTATTGTAAGCATTTAAATATTATCTTATTAAAACATTGTCATGGTCTGCCTTGAATTTTTGTAAAAGGAATCTTATGTGGAATTATATACCATTCAGTTCTCCTGTGTCTGGTTAATATAGCTTGTTTGCCCCTGTGTATTTATAGCTTGTGTTTCTTTTCAGTTTTGTCATGTATTGATTTTGTTCTGATGCCAAAGCTGTTAGGTTTGACTACTCCTGATATGAGGATTATCTTCTTTGTTTTTGTTTATAAATAAAGTTTTACATCTGCTTCTGGATCCACCTCTCCATCTCATCTTCCTTTGCCTGACCTGATGTTATAGACTACTGGAACACAAAAAAAACATGGTCTAGCAGATGCTTTCACTGATCTCGTTCGAGAAGGTCTTCCCTGGTTGGAGTATTCCGCCCGGTTCTGGGAGTTGGCCAAGCTCTCAACATTGATGACACCACCCTGAAATCAATTTATTGGATTGGGGCTAACTATTATGGGTAGCTGGACTTACCAGAGATCAGGGAATCTCACATGAAGAGAATCTATCCTCCTCTGCTTGGAATTTGCATACCTGTTGATGTTCTTGCCCGCACCCACCAAGGACCCAAAGCCAGAGCCCACTACAGACCCAGAGCCTAAGCCACCCCCAATGTCTGTCCCATTAGGTAGTTCGAGGGCATGGAGTCCCACACATCCTCCAGCTGAGTATGCTAAGCTGAGTCCCCACTGATGTACTATTAGATGAGATGGATGATGTAGTGTTTTGTGGTCTACAGTCCCCACTGATGCCATCCAGTCTTCCGTCTCCTTCGTCGTTGCTGGTCCCGCACAGGTCCAAGTCTCCTTTATCGCAGCTGGCCCGCCCAGGTCCAAGTCTCCTTCGTCACCACTGGTTCTGCCCATATCCAATTCTCCTTAGTCGCTAATGGTTCTCCCCATTTCCAAGTCTCCTTTGTCGCCACTGGATCCGCTAATCTCCAAGTCTCCTTCGTTGCTAATGGTTCCGCCCATCTTCAAGTCTCCTTTGTCACCACTGGTTCCGCTCATCTTCAAGTCTCCTTCGTTGCCACTGGTTCCACCCATCTTCAAGTCTCCTTTGTCACCACTGGTTCCGCTCATCTTCAAGTCTCCTTTGTCACCACTGGTTCCGCTCATCTTCAAGTCTCCTTTGTCACCACTGGTTCCGCTCATCTTCAAGTCTCCTTCATTCGCCACTGGTTCCGCTCATCTACAATTCTCCTTTGTCGCCACTGATTCTGCCCATCTCCAAGTCTCCTTTCTCGCCACTGGTTCCGCCTATCTTCAAGTCTCCTTTGTCACCATTGGTTCCGCTCATCTTCAAGTCTCCTTTGTCGCCACTGGTTCCGCCCAGCTCCAAGTCTCCTTTGTCGCCACTAGTTCCGCCCATCTCCATGTCTCCTTCGTGCCAATAGTTCCGCTCATCTTCAAGTCTCCTTTGTCGCCACTGGTTCCGCTCATCTTCAAGTATCCTTCGTTGCCACTGGTTCCGCCCATCTTCAAGTCTCCTTCATTCGCCACTGGTTCCGCTCATCTCCAATTCTCCTTTGTCACTAATGGTTCCGCCCATCTTCAAGTCTCTTTTGTCACCACTGGTTCCGCTCATCTTCAAGTCTCCTTCGTTGCCACTGGTTCCGCTCATCTTCAAGTCTCCTTTGTCACCACTGGTTCCGCCCATCTTCAAGTCTCCTTTGTCGCTACTGGTTCCGCTCATCTACAATTCTCTTTTGTCGCCACTGGTTCCGCTCATCTACAATTCTCCTTTGTCGCTAATGGTTCCGCCCATCTTCAAGTCTCCTTTGTCACCACTGGTTCCGCCCATCTTCAAGTCTCCTTTGTCACCACTGGTTCCGCTCATCTTCAAGTCTCCTTTGTCGCCACTGGTTCCGCTCATCTACAATTCTCCTTTGTTGCCACTGGTTCCGCTCATCTACAATTCTCCTTTGTCGCTAATGATTCCGCCCATCTACAATTCTCCTTTGTCGCTACTGGTTCGGCCCAGCTCCAACTCTCCTTTGCCACCACTGGTTCCTCCCATGTCCATGTCTCCTTCGTGCTAATGGTTCTGCCCATATTCAAGTCTCCTTTGTCGCCACTGATTCTGCCCATCTCCAAGTCTCCTTTCTCGCCACTGGTTCCGCCTATCTTCAAGTCTCCTTTGTCACCATTGGTTCCGCTCATCTTCAAGTCTCCTTCGTTGCCACTGGTTCCGCCCATCTTCAAGTCTCCTTTGTCACCACTGGTTCTGCTCATCTTCAAGTCTCCTTTGTCGCCACTGGTTCCGCCCAGCTCCAAGTCTCCTTTGTCACCACTGGTTCCGCCCATCTCCATGTCTCCTTCGTGCTAATGGTTCTGCACATATTCAAGTCTCCTTTAACGCCACTGATTCTGCCCATCTCCAAGTCTCCTTTGTCGCCACTGGTTCCGCCTATCTTCAAGTCTCCTTTGTCGCTAATGGTTCCTCTCATCTTCAAGTCTCCTTTGTCACCACTGGTTCCTCTCATCTTCAAGTCTCCGTTGTCGCTAATGGTTCGGCCCATCTCCAAGTCTCCTTCATTGATAATGGTTCGGCCTATCTCTAAGTCTCCTTTGTCGCCACTGGTTCCGCTCATATCGAAGTCTCCTTCGTTGCTATTGGTTCCGCCCATCTTCAAGTCTCCTTCATTTGCCGCTGGTTCCGCTCATCTCCATGTCTCCTTCGTCTCTAAGGGTTCCGCCCAGCTCCAAGTCTTCTACGTCACCGCTGGTTCCGCCCAGCTCCAAGTTTCCTTCGTCGCTAATGGTTTATCATCTCCCAATCTCTATCCCTTCTCCTCTGCCAAAGCCATCAAGTTCGGCCTCACCCTCGCTGTCTCCCTTCAGCCTCTTGGCTCCGCCTTCTGTGGTTCTGCCCTGCTGCTCTGATTCGCTTTGGGCTTCCTGGTCTCCAGCTCCGCCCTGGTGTGTCGATCCCCTGGCTGTACCTTGGGCCTTTGAGCCCTGGACTCCATCTCGGCCTGTCGACCCATCGGCTCCACACTCCCACCGGCTCCACCCTGCTCTGCCGAGCCCACGTTTCCACCTCGGTCCCATAACCTTGAGGTGGAGAGCTTCGTCTTCATCCCCTCAGCTCTGCTATGCCTTTCATCTCAGTTGTGTCTAGTATTGGCTTTGTGCTGGTGCCAAAGCTGTTATGTTTCACTACTCCTGTAATGTGGATTATCTTTTTTTTTTTTTTTTTTTTTTTACAAATATAGTTCTATGTCTGCTTCTGGATCAACCTCCCCATCTCCTCTTCCTTTGCCTGATCTGACCTTACAGACATATTCTTTCTTACTTTTTTGGCCATTTAAATATCAGAATCTGCACTAAATTGCAAAGTTTTGCTCAGTTTGGGCCTCTGGATAAAACTGAATTAAATTGCAAATTGTGAATAAAACTGAATTGAATAAAATAATATGAGCTCCATATTCTAAATTTATCATCCTAACCATAAAAGCCTATGTATCAAATGATACTCACCAAAAAAACACTTGCACATATTTTGTTTTAGATTGTCTAAATTAACTGTTCCATTTCAAATTAACTGTTTCAGTTTCAGTTTCTGTTCAATAAACTGTTCCATTTAAAAAAAAAATATAGATTTTTCTGACTATATTAATTCATTGTCTGGATTTACAGTGTTAATTAAATGTATACCTTTGAAAAAAAATATTAAATGTTTAATGATACATTTTAAAATATTATATTAATAATAGGTCTCTACTGAAGAAGCAGCCATATGTTTAAGTCACCAACTGTGTTACTTGCATATAAATATGACCATATGGAACTGTTCAGGAAAGCTATTTGAAAACAAAATGAATTTAGCAATTTCATTTTTAGTGCAGCAATTAAACAGTGTTTCAAAAAAGAATGAACACTGGCCATCTCAGCACAGAGCAACTCATAGAATAAAGCAAAAAGATATTAAGGGCTAATAACTGAATAGCACAGGCGATCGTGCATTTTACAGCAGCAGTCAGTGAGGACCACTGTG